ATTTGATTTAGATCATTGATCGTGATTTAAGAGTTTATTTAAATCAAATGAATTTTATATAATTTATTGAATAACTAATTTTATTAGTTTCGATGAATTTTGAACAGTAATTAATGAAATAATAATATAATATAATTAATTTAGTATAAAAATGATCGATTAATATGCATTTCTTTTTCAAAAGTAATGATCGATCAAAATCGTTTATGTGCTTGCACGGGTATCTTGTTCTTATGCTAGCTCCCAAGTATGAGAGACCGGCTAGGATCCTTCAATCAATGCAAGAGTGAAGGAAATGAATAAACCAGATTAGCAAAACATAATTCTCTCAATCTTTCACCCACAAAAGCAAAATATTGAGGCCCCACTAGGAGAATTTCTTAGGTGCCGTTTGGGTAATTTAACTTTCGTAATTCATTGTTAATTTTCTATTGATAATAAGAAATTTTACTATGATAAATTTATAAATATATATTTTATTTATTAAGATAAGGAAATGTTATTATAATAGGTAACATATAATTATTTTTTTCAAAATAATTTTTGTCATCTAAGGAAATAATAAATCTGTCTTTGAAAGTAACATCCTACTAAATGGGGCTTAATTTAACTAATCAAACCTGAGTTTTCTCGTGTTACCATCTTACCAAAAAAGAAAAAATTTAAAATTTTGTTTCTTAAATTTCAACATTTACAAGTCAACAATAAATGATTACCTTAGCATTGACAATTGAATAATATGCGAAGATAACAGAAAATTAATATTATTTTTTACCTTAATGATGTAGTTTTTGGATACGGAGTTAATAAAGAAAAAAGAAACAAAGATTTAAGAAATGATGAACATTCGATTTGATTGGATTTTGAGGGGTCGACTTGATTAATGGACCAACAATATTGAAAGAAAATAATTGGTTCAAGAATGGAAAAAGAAGGATCAATACATAGAATGTCCCCTTAAATATCATTTTTGTTGAATCTAGTTAGATCTCCCCATAATTAACAAATCAAAATTAATACGTTAAAAGTCAAAATCTTGAATTCTTAGCTCCAAGAAAGATATGATTTCACATGCCATACCCACATTAAATCATTTTTTCCATTATCTTATATAACATAATATAATATAACATAATCTGATGCAAGCCCATAGAACGGTAGAACATGATGGGCTTTTAGCAGACCGGTCCATACAGAACTAATTACTATGGCTGAACTACATGTCGTTTTCTTAGGGAAATTTTCTTTTTACAATGTCGTTTCTTGTGTTTTTCTCATTACAGTTAAACAACATTAAGTGCTACATCATGTGATAGGTAGTTACTTGCAAGTGTTTAGTTAACCACTTGTCTTGTTTAATTTCAAAAAATAGATTGACACACTTAAAACATTAACATCAAGAACTAAGAAGATGACATTTTCTATTTCCTTTTTAGTAACTGAAAATATGATAGTAATTTCAGCGTTAAATATTTTACAGGTGCATTTAAAAAATTAAAACAAAAAAGAATCCGTTGACCATATATATGTTGAATATGGGCCAGGAAAGTCAATTAGACCATTCCAATAAATTCAATTAGATGGGCCTCTATTGGGCTGAGGCAACCCATGTTAAAATCAAACCCGACTCTTATACTTGCACTGCATAATTAGACCAGCATGCTACTGGATTTGCCGTGTGAAGCCCACACTTAAAACAGACAGATCCGCTTCTGTTCCTGACGGAAAATTTTCCGTGCTGTCCGCGGACTATTTTTGGAAACTTTTTCTTGTCGGCTAAAATAGTTTCCTTCGATTGAAGCGGTGGATGCCGGTGGTATTTTTTTTACAGAATACGTCGTCGTTTAACGAAGAAAAACAAAACTTTGAATACAGTGCGGCTTGATTGGATTTGAATACCGTCGAACGTTGGGGCCTGCTTCTTTTTTAACGGATCTGAAGTTCTGAACCCTTCTCTTAAGCGCCGGACCGCAGTTGGATTATGAATATGGGGAAGACGGCACCTGAACAAAAGAGGAGAAAACTCGAGCCGCCACCGCGTCGCAGGTAATACTTTGTCGTTTTATTATTTCTTGTGTAAAATTCTTATGTTAAATTGTGAGTTCGGATTCAGGTATGTAACTTGGTGTTTTGTTTATGTTTGCGGTTGCTTATGTTAATCTTAGGCTGATTGGCGATTCGTTTTGTTGTAATTAGTGCTGAATTATTTGAATTTTGAATTTAATTTGATGGATACTGCGGGTTTGCCTTTTCTATCAATATCTATTTGAGCTAGAGTTGAAAGAGAGCTCTGATGAACTTGAGAGTTTCTTAATTTAGTATCTTTTGTCAAATTGGGCAATTGTGATTCAGAAATAGCCTATTTTATTTATTTATTTGCAGTAACTTCAAATGCCTGTGATTTCATAATTAAGTGGAAGAGTTTTTCAATCTAAAGAAATAATATTTGTCTTAGCTTTGGAGGTCTAAGTGCATACTGAATACCCAATAGAATTTACAAAATGCTTTCCCAAAAATTATCTCAAATAGAAATAGAGAATAAAGTAATTTCAGTTCTTACATGATTTCAAGGTTCCTAACACCATAATCAGAAACTACATCTATGATGCATAGAAACTTTTAGCCATAGACGTTTCTTGTTTCAGAAACATTTCCGCCGCTCGTTTCCTTGTATAAAATACTGTTGTTCCATGTAAACTTATATTTAAAATGTCGTTCTTCCATATGGTTTTTGCATTTCCAGGCCTGCCGAATGATATCCCGAAGGGGTCCAATGAGACTTCCTTCCTCCTGTCCATTTCCGTGCAACATAGGACATTTTCTTTTATCTGCTTTTTGTGCCATGAGTTAGAGTGATTGGGAAGCAGTGTGCACTACAAAGTATAAACCCCATCTGCTCTTCATGCAGCCATGTAGAGATGAAAGTTTATGATATATTTGCAAGAGATATAGGACCAGTTCGTTTCTGACACCTCTCTTATTGCAGGACTGCCCCTTCGCAGGCAGGAAAGGTAACTGGAGATGCAACATCAGTGAGTAGTTTTCAGGTAATCATATTTTCTTTTATTTCTATTAAAGTGGTTTTCACATGGTATCATATATTATTTCTTGTGATTCACCCATGTCAATGGACATATAGGTTCCTATAACTCCTGTGGTAGATTACAGGTTTCAACAGGCGAAACATTTTGCAGTTGCACAAGCACAACAAGAAGGCTGCACTGGAAATTTTAGAATTTCTGATTCTCCATTTGGTAACTTTCTAGTTCCTGTTATCCCAACTCGCGCAGAATTAAAGGGATAATCTATTTCTTTCATTGTTTTACCTGATTTGGCAACATTGAACTTTTTTACGCATCTGTTGAGGAGTAAATACATCCAATTAATAATGAACTTTTTTACCTGAGTTTAGAATTTCTGATTCCCTGCTTTGCTTTTGATCCGAAGCATTCGTATAATTGCTAATTGAACTAGAAAATGCCATATGGGTAGCTTGACAATCACCATTTTTTTTTTCCTTTTGAAGAAAGTTCATCAATCGTGAGCAAAATACGACTTGTTAGAAGAGTACTGGCTTGCTTTTAAGTTAGCAGGTAATAGGAAGACGAGATTAAACCCTTTATACCCCACAGGTGTACAATTATTTGAAAAGAAAGATAATAATGATTATATATTAGAATTAATTAGGCACCGTCTCTCCTTTCCTTCAATGTGCATTTAACATGATAAGAGTTTATGATAAATGATTATAATGAATTACTATTGGAACATCAACGATAAGGATTCATGCCTCTTTCTTCGTGATATTCATCTATAAAATAAATAAATAAATTACTCTAATACATATAGTGTGTGTACTGTGTACAATACTTTTTATTTGCGCTTATGTCAATCCAAAAATTTATGAGAATCTCTCTCACTGCTACCGTGTCCGCCACTGAATTATCGAACCATGAATAGGCAAACAGGTGGCAAATAGAGGGAGAACCTAACTGGGGTGGGGACATGGCACATGACTGATTAGATTCCTCTAATTTGGTTTAACCTACCAATTTTAATGGATGCCCAAATTGAATCGGGTGCGATTCTCACGGCATACGGCTCGCACAAAGACTCCCATTTCAGTATTCAGGCTCTCTTTTTTTTTTTTTTTTTTTTTTTTTTTCCACGCATACGGCTCGCACAAAGACATCCCAATTTCAGTATCAGGCTCTCTTTTTTTTTTTTTTTTTTTTTTTTTTTTGGGCGGGGGGGGGGTGTGGGGTGGGGGAGGAGAGAAGCTGGGGTGTGGGGTGGGGGAGGAGAGAGCTGAGTGAATGAGCACATGAAGGAAATTGAACCGGTTAATTAATCGATTTGGTTTCCAAAATACTGCAATAACTTTGATTTGGAATTCCCTTAAAAGTTGATATACAACCAAACTAATTGGTCAATTTTGGATGAATGGGTTGTACATTTCAATTTAATAATAGGTTTTGACCAATATTTTCCTGTCAAAATTAAATTGGATTAGTCAATATAATTCCAACATACGTATAGTATTTTTTTTTTCTTGCGTGACGCTACGCGACCACAGAATGTCAAGATGCAACATACACACCCAATTAATTGATTAAACCCATATTTTTGGTTAATTAATTAACCTCTAAATTATGCAACGCTGCAATTAAACACGGATAAGATCGTGATTAGCCTTGACTCGACTTGATATTGTTAAGCAATACAGGCTACTGTTGATGGTTTTCTAATTAACAAAGCAAAAAAAGGAAGTCGTCCGTGGATTTTTCAACCCGATCATCCACAAGCCACCGTTGCTTGTATAAAGAACAAATGGGACCCAGACCGGTCGGTCTAGATTAAGCGGCTGATGCCTGACATTGACATGTCATTCAAAAAATGGTGTTCTCGTAATTTCAATCCAAAACCATGACCACTTTCCTTTTTTTTTAAAAAAAAAATATTATCCCCTTTTTTCTCACAGTATATATATATATACACACACATATTACCAGGAAAAAAAAAAAAAAATTCGTTTCAGTCTTTAAAGTATCTTTTCCGTTCCCCAGCTACAAGACGATCAAATGCGAATCACAGGATAATAGTTTATATTAGTAGTATAATTTACAGTGCGGAAACAACACCCTATAGCAAAACCCGTGCAATTTTCATACTCTTTCTGCTTATTGCCTTATTTCCCGAGAACATCTTGCTTTCTCCCCCGAGAAATTCTTTTTTGTTTTTTTTTTTTTTATAATTTTTTTTATCCCTTTTCAGCTTTTCTTACATCTTTACATATAGATTTTTCCATTTTTGTATTGAAAATTTAAAATAGGATAAAAAGTCAAAAGAGTAATCACAGATTTAATACTTCACAGAAGTTAGAGAGAGGTATTTTTGCTCGTAGTTGCGATGGGAAAGGTGGCGGTGGGAGCGGCGGTTGTCTGCTCGGCTGCTGTTTGTGCGGCGGCGGCGCTGATAGTCAGGCACAGGATGCAGAGCTCTGGTAGGTGGGCCAGGGCTATGGCGATACTAAGAGAATTCGAGGAGAAGTGTGGGACTCCGATTGGGAAGCTACGCCAAGTGGCCGATGCTATGACTGTGGAGATGCATGCAGGTCTTGCATCGGAAGGTGGAAGTAAGCTTAAGATGCTCATCAGCTACGTTGACAATCTTCCCACTGGGTAAACTATCATTCATTTCTCATCTGTTTGGATTTTGTTTTTATTTTAGTCTTTGATACAAATTCTGTTTTTTCTCCTTAACTAATTGTTTCATCAGTTTAGACGATTTTTATTGATTTGATGTATTTATAATTCCCCTATAGCTTTTGTCAAAATATATGGAATCTTCATTTAATGGTTTTTTGGTTGCTCTTTTGTGAACCGTTGTAATTGGATCGAAAATGGGCGCAGTTGGGAGATGAAATTTCCTAATACAAAAGGGCAGATTCCCTTATACGGAATTTTACCTTTTTAGATAGACGTATTACACTTCACTTATGTTGTGTTAAGAACTTTAAGGTATTTTTAGCATTTTGCTTTTTAAGTTTGCCCAACTTCTGTCCCATTCCATTCGAATTTTATTTGCTTGTTTGATTTGTCACTAAGTAATTGGTTTAATTGTTACTTACTGTTGATATTTGCTCACGCTTTCTTCTTTCATTTTTTTTTTCTTTCTGTTTTTAATATTTTTCACTGGATTGTAATTCATATGGCGTTTTAGAAGTGGGAGATCATTTCACTCTTTCAGTCTTTCTACAAATTAGCAAACTTTATGCATATCATATGGGGTTGATAAAGTTGGTAAAATTAACTTTTCTGCTTCTGTTCTTGATGGGATTGTTATAGAATGTGGATACTTTATGACAGTTGGTAGCAAGGCATTATTGATAAAGACTTATTCTTGTTTTGCATTAAGTTCATTTATGTATTGTATTATGATATGCCTTACTAACTATTTTCTAGTCATGGCTAACTTTATAGAATAAATTAATTGATTTATTTATGGACTCTTGATTGTTTAGCAGCTCATGTGCTAATCAAAATTTCTTGGTAAGGTTTATCAAGACATAAAAATTAAGGCGAAGAATAAGAAGAGAAACAAATGTTAAATGCAAAATAACATTTTTGCTGTGAAGCATTTGTTCCTACATTTAGCAATTTTGTTTGCCTAGATAACTTTTAGTCTTTTACATTAATGAAAGGAAAATAAGCTAAATATGCCAGTAGCTTCTGCTTATTTCTTCAGAGACGAGAAGGGATTGTTTTATGCATTGGACCTTGGTGGCACAAATTTTCGTGTCATACGGGTACTATTGGGTGGGAGAGAAGATCGAGTTGTCAAACAAGAATTTGAGGAAGTTTCAATTCCTCCACACTTGATGACTGGATCATCAGATGTGAGTTTTTCTCCAGCTAGGCTAATCAATTTGAATCTCTTAGATTTGTTCATAATCTGAATTCCTCTAAATGATTGTTATTTCAGGCATTATTTGATTATATCGCTGAAGCACTCGCCAAATTTGTAGCTACAGAAGGTGAAGGTTTGCATCCTTCACCTGGTCAACAAAGGGAATTGGGCTTTACCTTCTCATTTCCAGTTAGGCAAACATCAATAGCATCAGGAACTCTTATAAAATGGACAAAAGGCTTCTCCATAGAGGACACGGTTAATCCTGATTTCCTTCACTCCTAATTACTTGATGTTGGTGGATTGCCCTAATTTAGCATTCAAACTTAGTAAATTCTTCTACAATCTAAAATGTTAATCATCATTTTCTCCTTGCCCTTGCATTTGATTCATATTTAAAGATTTAGGGTCTTCTTTTATTAGATATTCATACACACATCCTCTCATGTGTCCAAAAGATATGTACATAGCCTAATGTTATTAAATTTCTCATTTTCTCATATTATTCAGTATAAAGACACCTAATCCTCTGCAGGCAAAATACGACTCTGGAAAGTTTTGATGCATTTATATGTTTCAATATGTTGATACAGGTTACAAATACCATAGGCTAAATCTGGTTTTAGAAATATTGTGTATATCCCTCAAGGTAATATTTCAGAGGAGGCTGTGTCAGGGAAATAAGAGAAGCTAGAACTCTCTTGTTACCATCAATACCTATCTTGAAATAGGAAAAAAAGTTATCCCTACTTTCCTTTGAGGGTAGAATTTATTCTCTCTTTTAGTTTGATTTCTATGCAATTATGTGAAGAAGTTGACAGCAGCATTAATTATCGTGCGCTCCCAGACCTTTGGTTTTTGTAAACAAATTCTTCGATTTGATAAACTAATTGGTGTTATTGAGATCTATGGCTGAAGAAGAGAATTGTTGTTGAACTGGAGATGTTTTGAAGCATATATTATGCATCATGTAGTTAATGGTTCTTACTCCCTTCAGCCATGTCAGTTTCATTTCATTCGATTAAAAGCAAAATGCTATTGGAAACCTCTTCCATGTCTGTTATAACTTTCCCTTGACTTGTACATTTTCAGCAGCTAAGAAACATGCAGTATTATATTTGGGGTCTCCATGTGCCAGACTCACCGCTAGTACCTCGGAACCGAAGTTTGGTGTTTTGGCTCATTTTCTTGGAAGAGTTCCACGCTTTATCATCATATTTTCATCAGGAGGCCTATTAGCCTTGGGCCTGACATTTTTAATTTTCTTCTTAATATTTCAGTACAGCTGTGTGCATTAATTTGTAGGCATGGGGCCATAGGTTAGTTTATATGCTTATGATAATGACTGATGCATAGGTCCTCATGTATCTCCTTTAATATTGCATGCCAAATCTTGCTTGTCTTTGGTTCTACTATCCGTGACAAGCACTAAACATTTAACTGTAATAAGCTATTATCTGCCTTGGAATGCATGAAGCAGAAAATTTTTTGGGCTAGTGATTACCTTTTTGCTTCATTTGATATTGGTAACTTCTAACCTCATCAGCTTTTTCAATTTTTATTTTTTATTTTTCTTAAAAGACTTGGTTTTCTTTCTCTGTTGGTCTTGGTATAGGTTGGGCAAGATGTGGTGGGAGAACTGACAAAAGCCATGGAAAGAGTTGGACTTGACATGCGTGTGGCAGCTTTGGTAATTTGAATTTTTTTTTAACTTTCAGGAGCCCTTTTTGGCTTTTTCATGTTAGTTGCCAGGAAAGTAGTTTCCATGTTGGCTTTGACTACTGTGTTTTACTTGACTGAAATAACTTGTCTGGCTAACTAATGAAATCCTGAATCTGATGGGATGTTGTAGGTCAATGATACAATTGGGACATTAGCTGGAGGTAGATACTACGACCAGGATGTTATTGCTGCTGTAATCTTGGGGACTGGAACAAATGCTGCATATGTAGAACGAGCACAAGCAATTCCCAAGTGGCATGGTCTTCTACCAAAAACTGGAGAAATGGTTGGTAGTTTCTGAATGATCGTTGTGTTACTATCTACACTTGACTGTTTACCAAAATCTTTTATAGCTAAACTTATTTTCTGTCTAAATTTAACTCTTTTATTTCTGTGACAGGGATTTCTTCTTTTGATTTGATATGAGCATAAAATCATACTAAAGCATTCTTTATAACCATAGGTTATCAACATGGAGTGGGGTAACTTTCGGTCGTCGCACCTACCATTGACAAAATATGATCAAGCCCTGGATGACGACTCTCTGAATCCAGGGGAACAGGTGACCTAACTTTGAACTTTTGTTTTCTTCATCTTATTGTGTAGAAATTAAGTGGTTTAATTACTCCTAAGATCTTCATGGTTATTTTCTACAGATTTTTGAAAAGACTATTTCTGGTATGTATTTGGGAGAAATAGTACGCAGAGTCCTAGTGGAAATGGCTGAGGAAGCTGCTTTCTTTGGTGATGTTGTTCCATCAAAACTGAAGATTCCATTTATTTTAAGGTATGTCACATTCTATCATTTGGCAACCTCTTTGCTATTTAGTCCTCCTTTTATCTTTTTGGACAATCATTTCTTTGTATTTAGTTGTGCTTAGGCATAATGTTTATGTCCAAATGACACTCAATCAGGCCCACCTCTTTTAAGTATGGAACATACCACACTCATCCTTGACACTCTTTCTCAAGTTCTGAAAGAGTCTCACCTGCACATCCTTTTCTATTCATTGCTCTCATCTTCAATGTTGTTTCGTGCAGTACCTATTTTTGTTTCAGTAAATTGGTTGAATTTTCTTATCCATATCGTATATGTGCTTCTAAATAGGAAATGCTGTTAATTTTTTGACTGATAATAGCTATTGGGATGTTACTTTTCTGTGGTACAATATGCAGGACTCCAGACATGTCTGCAATGCATCATGATACGTCTTCAGATCTGAGAGTTGTCGGAAGCAAACTAAAAGATATCTTAGAGGTATTTCGTGCTCTTTTGATTCCATTTAGTTTTATCAAAACTTTCCGCATCTGTATTATCTAATATCATTTTGTGATTCTTAGAAAATCAAGTGTCGAAGCATTCTTGCTGAAAAATATAGAAGTAAATACAAGAGTTGCAATTTTTGTCATTAACATGTGAACTTAACAATCATGCAGCAAAATAATTTTCTTGATTTTATAATAGCATCTGTTATCTGGTTTCTTATTTCTTGCTCAGATACCTAATACCTCCCTGAAAATGAGAAAAGTTATTGTTGAGCTCTGTGGCATTGTTGCCTCTCGTGGTGCCCGCCTATCTGCTGCTGGAATTGCAGGCGTCCTAAAGAAATTGGGAAGGGATACAGTGAAGGATGGGGAAAAGCAGAGGTCGGTAATAGCATTGGATGGTGGGTTGTTTGAGCACTACACTAAATTCCGTGTCTGCATGGAGAGCACTCTCAAGGAGTTGCTTGGAGAGGAAGTTTCTGAGAGCATTGTAATTGAGCACTCGAATGATGGCTCTGGCATTGGAGCAGCCCTCCTGGCTGCCTCCCACTCCCAATACCTAGATGTGGCAGAATCTTGAAAAGGTATAGATAGATAAAAGGAATGTACATTTTTTAAATTTTTATACATTATCCATTCCCCCTTCCTATCAGTTACTCCAGATCATCTAGAGCTACTGATGACTCCTAGTTCATGAGGTAATGCCAGCAAGTTCTTAGTGTATGGTCTTATAGAGCTTATAATTAGTGATGGATCAAATACTCGCATAGTGCCAGCCATGTTCTCAAGCTTCCATGCCTAGGCCTGCTATTTTGATCCCTCGTCTCTCTCTTTCTTTTTTGTACTTTAATTTATAGGAGCTGGTAAATAAAACTGGGGGATGTAAAAACTTCTGCTATTTGAGTAGCAACATTCGGCAAATATGTTTCTCTGGTCAATTGGAAATAAGGAGGAGATTTTCTTTTATCGTTAGCTGTGATAACAAATTTGAATTGGCTATTAGTGTAACTCATCTGATTAATTGGTTAACTATAATTAAGTTCTTAACTTAAACAACATGATTAGAAACCTAATATAAATAGTTAGTATAAGATACCCAGGTTGGTGTAAATTTAGCTTTCATGAAAATGGAAATGAATGTGTGAGATTAAAGAAATGTTAGTGTCTGAAGAGGCATTCTTTTATTTCCTTGTATGCTAATTTTTTTAAATTAAATTTCGGTTGTGGAATATGAATTGTTAGTGGAGGATGGGATTATTATGTTGCCGAGTGAGCATTTTAATTTCTGTTGATGTGATAAGAGTCTATAGTGACTTCTGACGGCTATAATTTTATATAAATCACTGCTTTATTACAGGTACTAAATGTCCAAATTTTAAGGTTTTCTACTCAAATTTTGACAGAATTCTGAAAATTGTTTTCATTGAACTTTAGAGCTAAAATTTGTTAACTCTCTCTATGCGAAAAGGCATATAAAATCTCAATCACACAAATGTTAGCTAAAAGCTACATGGCAGATATATGGGAGGCTCTTGAGTTTGGTCTTAAAGTTAAGTAGAGTAATTTAAGTTTTGAGATAGTCATAAATAATTTCATGGGAGATGCTTAAAAATTTAGATTATATTATTTTTACTAATGGTAGGATTTTGTTTATATACATCTTGCATCACAGCCACATCACCTAACTAATACACATCAGCATATAATCATATTGCCACATCACAATTATTTACACTAGGAGTCTAGGACTCGGTTTCACAAAAAAAAAAGAAAAAAAAAAAAAAAAACAATTGGTTAGGATTTGTTTATATACATCTGCATTCACAGGCCACATCACCTAACTAATAAACACATCAGCATTATAATCATATTGCCACATCACAATTATTTACACTAGGAGTCTAGGACTCCGGTTTTCACAAAAAAAAAAGAAAAAAAAAAAAAAAGTGCAATATTTCATTTCAATTGGACTCACAATTTCACATCCTAATTGCAATAATGTCCTAACAGCTTGACTCTCTCTTCCTAATTATACTCGAGTTCCATAAACAAGTGGGATTATTGCATTGACGAAGGATTTGCAAATACATCTCTCATGGAAGGCCTGGCAGAAGGCAATTTGTCCGTACACCTTAACCCCAAGTTGGAAAACCAACGGTCATTTCATGCAGTAAGATGCTTCCCTTATCTCCTTATCCAAGACATTTACAATTGCTTTTCCTTCATTCATGAAACGCCATGCCCAATCGACCAAGCCAAAGTATTTTCATCCCCAAAATTAGCTTTTTTTTTTTTCCTGTTGTTAGTTCCAGAAGTACAACTCGAAGCTATACACAATCTGTTTTCTCATTCACTTCTCGATGTCGCAGGCATTATTTCTGCAAATTCCAAATTTAGGTTGTGAAGTGTAAAAACATTTTAATTAACTGAACTCTTTTGTAATGGAAAACATAAATTATGACAAATCCTGAGCTAATAATAGCCGAAAGAGCCTAACAATAGCTGATACTGTGTCTTCAGCTTTCTTTAACCAGAAGTCTTGCTTAAACCGAAATCAGCAATTTTTGCATTGAAGATGAATCTAGCAAGAATATTGGCTTTGACTTTCACATCTCGATGGAATGATCGGAGATTTTCGAAGTCATGGTGCCATGTAGATAGGTCCTTGTGCAACTCCTACTGCAGATCAGAAATCTTGTAGGCCAGGTCTAAGTAGGCATTTGCTGATCTTTTCTTAACATGCAAACCATTTGGTCTAAGCTTTTCTGTTCTCCATATACTCATAAACAAGGAGTTTCGAATCATTCATAGGAATACCAAGCAAAGCAACTTCACTATGTTCGAATGCCTTATGTGCCTAGTATTTTAACTTCAGCTTCGAACTACTTTTCTCGAGCATTTTGCTCTAGCTTTCTTTCGCTCCATATTCTTTTCACAGCAACAAAATTGCCTGATTGGGTTAATAGGAAACACAGTAGACTTCCCTGACCCCCCGTTCCTATTAGATTTACTTTCTGTTAATTTGTGGTAAATATCTGATTCTGGGAAACGAACTTATGGAAGAAAGATATCATTCCCTTGATTGAATTTACCTTGTGCTTTTTCTTCCCGAGGAACTCTGATCATGAAATGTGTGAAGTAACCAAAGATAGCGCAAAAGCTATTGCCGAAGACACCTGCTAGCAAAGCCTATGAATTTTGTGATTCTTTTGCTTGAATTTTGGCACACATTAAGATTTAGCAATGAATTACTGGCACACAAGGCCAGGATTGTTCAAGAAACTTGTTTGTTATAAGCTGGCATTTTGGAACTCGCTCGGAATTTTCCTGGAAAGATGATTTGAAGAAGATTGAGGAAAATAAGTTTTAGGGAGCTACATTGAGGTTGGAAAATTTTTGCAGAGATTTGGTTATTTGACAAATCCAGTGCAACAAGTGTAGGGTAGAAAAGCAAGTTCCCCTGGAATTTTCTCCAGAAAGTTGATTTCGACTCAGGTTCCAGAGTATTTAACGGACTTTCCATGAGTTATATCAAGATGGGATTGCTCCGCTGAGTTGGTTCCTATTCAAGCAAAAGAGTGGTAAGGAAAGGAAGAGCAGTTAATTCTTGGGAATTGTACCAGATAATTGGTTTATTGCTGGCATTAAAAACCACCATATTCCTCCAAGAATCTTCCAGTAGGAATTTGCCAGAAAACCTGTTGTTTACTGATCTCTAGCCGGTAAGATTCCTTTTGAAACTTCAGTAGGAAGCGCTCTCCAGTAAACAAATTATCGCTTATCAATAAAAAACTCATATTTTAAAGCCCTGCCAATAGAACCAACAGGGAATATTTCCAAGAAAATGCATTATTTGGAAAATGTGTAACATAGCCCAAAACTACTGCAGTTACCAAGTGATTCTGGCAATGGTCGCTGAGACTACTGTCGGAAAGCTTACTAGTCCTACTAACTTCCCATTACTGCATTAAGAATTCAGGTAGCTTCCCTGCTAAACCTGTTGGAAAGCAACCTTGGAAACCTTCAAGCAATTTGAATGTCTTGCCCGAACTCTTGAGGGATTTTAAACCTGATAGATTGTTGCCTGAACGAAGCTAATATTTACCAGTTGCAGGGAGACGGGCCAATACCTTCAGGAATTCACCAAGATTAATGATTGAAGAACCAATTGTAATTCTGATAATTTCGTGAGTTTTACCAAAATCATTCAGGAATGTTCCTGTCAAATATATCTGAAAGATCAATGACAGTTCAAGTTCAAAGCTTCAACGCACATGAGGGATCTCCACCCTGTAATTTGTTCTTTAAAGATACAGACACTTAAATTCTTCAGCATCAACCAAACTACTAGGAATCTTCCCACTTAATCATTTTAACGATTAAATCCAATCTCTTCTAATGCCACCATTTCTCCGAATTATATCGGGTATCTCTCCAGATCAAATTGGAGTAGGAAAAACCACAATTCCCTTGAGTTTCTTCAGAAGCTGAGTGAAAGTGGAAGGCAACTTTGGGACCCGCAAAAAACTTAATTATAGGAACCATTATATAACCACCTTCAAGGTTAAACCAACTCACCAATTTCTGAAGGGAAGCCATTAAACTGATTCTGCTGAAGCAGAAGGATCCTCAGCTCCTGCAAGTCGGTCCAATAGCAACTGGAACATTACCAGTAAAATTATTAGGCATAAAGATTAAGATATGAGAGGCGAGATAAGAGGCAAATATCATCAGGAAGTTTTCCCAACGAAAGAGTTTTGGAGCAAGATTTAAATGTTCAAGATTGGAACAGTTGAGAAGAGATACAGGAAAGGTTCCAGTAAAAAACTGTTGTTATAAAAATCAACAACTTTAAGGTCTTTGAGGTCACAAATGAAAGGCGGGATCGTCCGGAGATGTTCATGTTTGGCTAAGCGAAGACCAGAAATGGAAAAGTTGTTTACTACTGCCAGTTGACTCCGGGCCAAGTGCAATAAGAAGAAGAGGTAGGAGGGGGCTCCATTTAGGTGAAGAACTGAATGGGTTTCGGCCAGTGTTGTTTTAGTCCTAGTAAGATTTCTTTTTCGTGATCGAAAGGCATAGGCGAGGAGGGTACAAAGTGATGAAATGGCAAAGATGTGACTGAAAGAAAAAATGGGCTGTTATTTTCGGCATTTGTGAAATTGGAGATTGAAGGAAAGATGAGTTTGGGATGGTTTGTTTTGCAAACGAGCTTATATCTTATTATATAGTGTGCATAATTTTGCCAGCCAATGCCATAATTTTTTTTTTTTTTGAAAAATTGTTATTTGTTTTTATTATTTCTGCTCTAGCGAATGGTCCTTGTTTACAATAAAAAAACTTTTATGTGTTATAAGATAAGTGTTTCCCATGTCAACGTGAAGTAAGGGGGGCTGGACGATTAGGAGTTCTTTTAACTGTAATATGTAGAGCATCTACAATGCAACCATAGATTGTGGTTGATGTTGTTTTAATAAATAGAAGCTGGTGGATGGTGATATGTCTGATAGTGTATTTTTGTAGATGTTAGATTTTAAAAATTGGTTCTTCAATGCACAAAGAAGAAATCAGCTATCAAGAAGAAAATTTTGAGTGCAAATAAAGAAAAAGGCATTAAAGGAAAATAAACAAATAAAGAAAATGAATAAATAGAAAAAAAGAATAAAATAGCTGAGTCAACGTTGTCTGAATAGGCTATCTTGAAAGTTAGAGAGCATAATAGATTAATATCTCTTTTTTCTTTTTGACACATCAAACTAATAGAGAAAAGAAAACGTTTTAGAAAAAAGTTTTATTTTTAACTTTCAATTTTTTTAGGACGTGGCAGATAAAATTAACACATCAACGTTTACATTGGAGATGCTCTTAGGCATTTTGTATTTATAAACAATTTTATGGACTAGAGTATTGGAGGACAACACATTACCTTTATGGTTAAAATAAAAACCCGCCCGGTGATAGGAACAA